TTGAAGAAGAAGAAGAAGAAGAAGAAGAAGAAGAAGAAGAAGAAGAAGAAGAAGAAGAAGAAGGAGCTGCTGCCAAGGCCAAGATGCAAGATGCCTTTTGGACCAGAAAATTGTTTTTCTCTACAGCTTGTATTTCTACTATAGAGTTTAAAGAAAGAATTTAGCTCCTTGTAACCTGCTTTCCTGTTTAACTTACGCTGTCAACTTGACACCATCTAGAGCAATCTGAGAAGGGAATCTCCTTTGAGGGATTTCCCAGAGCAGAACAGCCTGAGGGCACATCTGTGAGCTGTCAGTCACTGGACAAGGGCTCGGCCCACTGTGGGAGCAGGTGATCCTGTGCTGGATGAGAAAAACCAACCAAGCAAGGCTCTACAAGCAAAGCAGCAAGCAGTGCTCCTCGAGTGGTTTCTGCTTCAAGTTCCCACCTGAGTTCTGACTTCCCTCAGTAATGGACTGTGACCTCTAAACTAAAATAAAGCCTTTCTCTCCTCTGGGTTATTTTGGCAATGGAATATGTCAAGGAGGCAGAATAAAGCTGAAAGTACCTGCCTGTGTATCTTGATGATTTTAGAATCAGTTTTAAATACTTGTGGTCTACTGGTCTCTCACTTCCTAATCTCTTGTGTCCTCATAGACTTCGACTATAGTCAGTCACTGCCCTTGCCTTGACCTTGTCATTGGTAGTCACAAGGACACTCTCTTCTTACCCAGCTCTGATGGGTAAGATCACACTGATACTTACACAGATCCTGGTCCTTGACCCTTGTGGCACAGCCCCCACTTCCTACGTACACCATTTCCTGTGTGGCTTGACCCCCAACAGAGCAGAGCCACTTCCTTCTACTCTCATGGTTCCCTTGCTCCTTTTCCTTGTAAGTCCTTGCTTAGCAAAGCAGCTCGCTAGGTTAGTATGGCTTGATGTGCCTTCATTCATATGCAAATGTATCTAGAGACAAACCACAGAACTGAGTGGCTAGTCATCAAATTCACCGCCACAAACCACTAA